TCGTTTGGGTTATCAAAATAGGCAAGCTCGACCACCACTTTAAGATACCGTATTTATAGATCGGGGATCCAGGATGCTCTATGACAATCTGGTGATTTCAACAACGAATGTTCTATCCACTCTTAACTGCTTTTCCTAACTTCTTGTTCAGTTAGAAGCTGATTTGTTCTCTCCCACAGTAGATTGTTGTTGATGGTGTCTGGTCAACAGATCCAGGCCATCTTGAGTAGACATCCGTTTATAAACACCTGTCTCTTTTGAATGGTGGCTTTGCTAATTCTCCATGTTTCAACTCCGTGCAACTGAACTCTCCTCACGTTTGTATTGTAAATTATGATTTTGGTGTTGTCTGATAGTTGCTTTCAGTTCTAGATTTCCCTCATTTGTGTGAATGCTGAACTTGCTGTGCGAATCCTTTTCCTCATATGTGGATCATATCCCACATGTTTATCAATGATGCTGACCAAGTACGTGTTAGAATATTCATCCAATATCCTAAGAGAATTATTGGTCAATTCCCATTGGCCAATTTTATGGCCGTCCTGTATATCAATGCCACGTACTCCAATGTTGTTCCTTATTGGTCATCCTGACTGTCAATGTCACTTCAAATGTTGTTTCCTATAGGTCACCTTAACTGTCAATGTCACAGCCTGTTGATCTCGAATTCGGGCATCTACTTAATCCCTCATTCAGTTCAACAACAGTCTGTCGAAGACTTTTCCCTGTACTGATAGTAGAATAATGTCTCAATATTTCTCATATTGGCTGAGATATCCTTTCTTCAGTATCTTGACGAGTTGTCCTTCTTTCTAGTCTGTTGGTACTTGTGCTTTCAATTAAATCTTGCTTAAAAAGGATTAGAGTTTCTTTGTAGTTACTTATATATCTGAATTTGGTGCCTCAGGTGGTAGGTTGTCTGGCTCTGTTGTTTTGCTACGTTTGATTTGTCTAATAGACACGCTGATTTCTTCTAATTTTGTGAGGTAAGATGTATAAGAATGGTTGCGTGTTTCTTCGATATTTAGTGGGTTCAGTAGAGCTGATGTATTCAAGAGTTCCTCAAAATGCTCTACCTAGATTTTTCGCTATCAAATCTAATCAATAAGTAAGATTGATGTATGTCAATATAAAGCCAATCAAACAACAGAAATCAACCCAATGAAACTTCTATGACAGGGTGAGTATTATATGAAATTGATTTATTTCCGACCATACGTAACATGTAGTCATAGCTTCAAAATTAATGATGACAGTCAATTAGTTTTATTGGTTGGTTATAGACATTAAATTGTATGATATTGTGTGTTTTCCAATAGTAAATCGTTGACTAATTTATGTTAAATGCTACTCAATTCATTTTATACAAAGCTGACTGTAAATCATATGAAAAGTGGTGTATTCAGACATTATTTTGAATAATTTTTGGTGCCGAATAAATACTGATCTAGAGTTTTTGTTTACTCCATGACATCATCTGATTCAGCAAGTTAGTTAAGCATATCTGCTGACAGAGACAGACAGATACAACGTAGAAATTCGTACATGCATACATCAGTTTAGGTTGTCATACCACATCAACACAGAGACGAAACCGTCAGTTCAAATCCAAGAGTGATAGCGATAGTAGGAGTATTAGCGGTAATGGAGAAGATTAGGGAGCGAAGATATTATTCGAGAAGTACAATTCAGTAAGATAAATTTCGAAGGAGAAAGGTAGAGATTATGAGAAATTCAGAAGGTTAGAATTAGAGAGAACACAAAGAGTGGATGCACCTGCGCGATTGCAAACGATTCTGAGTCACACACACTTGAATATATAAACTCAATAGAATAAAATGCTAAATATACTCTCTCAAAATTTTATTTTCTTTATTAAAGTAAGCAAATTATGGTGAAACAGCTTATCAATCGAAAATTCTCTTGAAAATGATTTCCAGATGCTCTGCAGCTGAAAGATGTCCAATTTACAAACATTTGACACATAGACTCTCTGTAATGATATGAGAATGAAGAACAAATACTGACATCATTTGTGTCGAGTAAGAATTACTATTCACTATACTATAACTATGACTACCTATTGCTTAATAATTATAGTTATTGAAGTAAGTAAGAGTCTACAAATTCCAGTGGTTAAACTTCTGGATCACAATTTTTAACTTTGTGAAAAATAAGACAAATTTATATACTTTCGGTTTGTTTTGACAACTTCCTACTACCATACAATGGGATGAAAATAGTTATACAGATACATTATAGATCACTCTATTTGAGGTAGAACTATTCAATAAAAAAAGAGAGAAACCCTTGAAACTCTATTGAAAGACAACAACGCATGAGGCTCAACTATATCCGGCTTTAGGCATATATCATCGACGGGAATCTAGATGGTCGTGTAATAGACTGAGGTTGATTAAGTGAACTAAGAGATTTTAACTGATTTGAAAAGTGATGTACAAGACCTGAAGACATGAGTTCATACCTTGATGAGATTGTAAATGTACAGCGCTATGAAGTTACATGGTATGACAAAAGACCTGTCCAGTGATCCCTCGTATGAAATGGTCATCAATCCGAAATAATTTCGTGATTTAAGCTACCAGAAAGAAAATTTCCTAGAAATAATCTCATTCAGAATTTTCATTTATTGATATCTTTCTGGGTTAATAGAAATTGCATAACTGCGAATAGACGTTTATGTACATTTTCCCACAGAATCAAATTTGTTTGAACAAGTTCGAAAGCCAGAAACATAAGAAAATCATTTCTATTTCTTTTTTCGATTCTCAAAAGATGTACTGAGTTAGCAGTTGGCTACGCCATCCAAGATCGATCAGATTGGACTTCGTAAAGTGGTTCCCAGAAAATCATCAGTTTAATTACTTTGTCCATTTCAGTAATGAACTATCACGTATGCCCATGGCTATTCATTTGTCTTATAGTTATAAAAGACCCTGTAATGCCAACAGTAATCGTGTTGTTACTCAAAATTTAACTTTTTCAGCATATTTTGGAACCGTTCACTGAATCAATTTTTCTTACCAGCCACACCCCATTAAGTCATTACGTGAGCATACTAATGAGTAGCTCACTAACTCCGAGTTTTGAAAGCGAAATTCAACAAAACAACATTAGTATAGAAATGAGAATTTCAATTTTTGAAAAAACTCAAATTTACGAAAAATAATTATAGGGATAACTTAACAACTAGAAACTAAGTTCTGCTGCTACTTCGCTATCCAAGTAAAGTTGAAATGGAATCTATATTCACATCTTTTATTTTAATAAAGTAGTAAATACTGATGTCTTGGAAAGTTCTTGTTCGTTTCATTATGCAGTGTAGTTACAAAATATAGAAACTAGTTGATTTTGAGAAATTAAATGGGTTGTATTTTTCAGACTCATCGCTTAAGTAGGTTGGAAAGATGTTCGCAAAGATACCTGGGATACTAGTAAATGAAGTTGATTAGAGCAAATTACCGAGCTGTTAATATAGTGATGATGGTTTGTGAAATGGAAAATATAACCTTACAGACAGCTATTTGCATGCAGAGCTGAGTGATAAATAGAAGAGTTTGAAGAAAACAAAGCACCTTTTTCTTAGTCTCCAACAACTAATATGCTAGGGATGAATATACTATCAACATAACCCTGCATATGATTGGAACTAGTGAATTATTGGGTTCGGTATTAATCCATATCAGTGTTTAAATAATATTTTACAAATGAAAAATAATAAATCCTAAACATTTCTTCTAGTAAAAATAAGCAGAAGATCGAATTTTCAAGCATCAGATAATGTTCCATCAGTGATACAGCTTATGTCTATACCGTTCAGTCCAGCTTTTTTATGATGCCTAAAATTGATGTTTTGCTGAAACAACTGAACACCTGAGTAGCAGATACTCAACACTACGTCTACAAAGGTAATTTTGGGTTTGATTTAGACTAACTACTTAATTGTTAGGTTCAAATAATGCAATCACTCTGGGTTCCTAGTCTTTGGAAAGAGGTTAGAGAAGTGAAGACAAACGTCACGTGTTTTCATCGTATCTGCAGTCAATTGAAGTGTAAACATATTCTGTTTCTCTAAATGTACTGACACAACTGAACTGTGTATTCCTGCTACTGAATCAACACCTGAGGGATTGTAGTAAATTTCTTCTGAGTCTTCAGAAAATTGAACAGTGAACCGATCTAGTCCGTAAACCAGTTGGGTAAAGTCAAGTGAGCTATATACAAAATTTACATGTCGACCTGAGACATAACATAGGTGAAACTAGTATACTAGTAAATCTACTTTTCGAACAACTAAATCCATAGACTTCAGTTTTAAGAAGCAGCTGTAAAAGACTACAGATAAAACTTCGAAAGCTCATGTCTTTAATAGTGGATGAGACAATAAAAAAACTGAAGAGGCAAATTAAAATCTTAAGAATACTGGTGACTTGAAACAATTTTTAAAGGTTCTGGTGGTATACGAGCAAATGAGACACTCCAGTCACTCAGACGATAAACTGGAAAATTCTCGTTGATATGGAACACAAGAACCAACCAACAAAAATCAATCAAATAAATTTTTCTAAGTAGTTGTTCTGTAGCATTAACTCAGTGCTTTGTAAATGTAACAAGCTTTAAGATATTCAAAATATATTTTAAAGGACGTCATTTTTATGCACCAAAGAATACAGGTAAGTTTTATTTTACCTTATCAAAATTAGCACCTCAAATATCAGACTCATTCATATCCAGTCGATTAGTAAGGGAAATTTTGAATATTTGTGGTCTTACTTGTCTGTTATAAACTGATTCCACTTAAACAGATACGACATATAGATATAGTACGCCAATCATAAGTGGTCAAATGAAGAGGCCATTTGATGGTCATCAGAAAATGTCCTAAATCACGAATACATAAAATTGGTCAAGAAATGGCTTTATTTTCTACGGAGGTAGGACATATATATATATATATATATATATATATATATATATATATATATATATATATATATATATAAACGAGGATTTGTATATATTGTCCGCTGGCCAAATAGATTTTCTCTTCTGCTCTTGCCTTCGCACTTAGGTAGCCAGTTTTTGAGGTCAGCACATAACGCGTCGATATCTCTAGGATACCGCACATCACAGCACATATCTATTCATTAATGATGTGTTATAGATTGAAAAACTCTATTCACTAAGCACTTTATGAACAAAGCTATAGTAACTAATTCTAGCGGTGTTGAATATTGCCACCATACACTTGGTTCGGAAGAAAATTTTGGATACTGAAAGAATATCATCCTACATAGGATGAGGATGCAGTGGAGTGTATAACAGTTTCAGAAGTTAGAAAGTGGTAAATTAAAAAAAGACGAATATTTGTAATGAAAAAAAAAGAAATGAATGTGCCAGGAAATGCATAAATTTATTTGAATACGAAAGAACAAGAAACAAAAATATATGCGTGTACCCTTATCTCAAGTCTAAGTTGCGCACAAAGATAAGCACCAACGAATACGGTTTGGATGAGCGAGATGCGTAGAGATAGCCAGAGAGAGAGAGAGAGAGAAAGAGAGAGGAATGTAGTCAATTGAACATGCAGAAAACAGTTCAACAAAATTCAGGCGCATATATTTTATGCATTAATAAAAATGAACAACGAATGATAAAACAAAATAATAATCAAGTTATAAGAGACTATAGAGTGAAAAACGCATTGATTTATGCCATTTTGCAAAGATTTATAAGATATATAGGACGAAAACACAAACATTGTTCTTCATAAATTATAGCTGAATAAGTGTTTCATTACATCTTTTTTTGTTGAAAAATGAATTAACACTCGAGATATACAGCTCCTTAAAAAAAGGAACTTAGTTTAGTAACATGAAAGAAAAAAGAGAAATCGTGAAGTACCACACGTATGCATTAATACACACATACACATGTGAGCAGTTTTTTTTTAGCAAGCGTGCAACATAGTTTTTCTGAAAGTTGAACAAAATCCCCATATAGATCTGCACAACTGGATTCATCACAGCCAAAAAATAAGTGATCATATAAGTTCATATTCAGAACTCATAATATAATAATCGCAACCGGTTATGATATTGATGATGATAATGATGATGATGATGGCAGACAACAGCAACAGGATTGAAAAGACAAATACACTTACATAAAACTGGAAACAAAAATTAATTATCCAATCCTACTAAGACAATTACCAACCTAATCACATGTTACAAACATATAAAGAGATATACATAGAGAAGAATTATGAACTGTCACCGTAGATCAGAGGTGAGAATAGACAAACAAGCATAAAATAATGAGACACAGGCGTACTGGCTAAATTAATAATTTTAAATAAACTGTTAAGGAAAAGGAAATAATGATTCAAACTATTGAACAAAGTCAAACGTATATTGGGATCGTGTACCATAGTCATCAACGGGAAAATAATAATTATTATTATTATTATGAGTATGACTATCACGGGAATAAATTTCTTTTGGATTAATTGAACCACCGCGCAGTTGTCTAGATCTTTCCTGCTATAAATGGAAATAGGTCAAGAAATGATTACAAAAAAATGGTCGTAAATAGTGAATAATAACCACAAACTGTACAATATTAACCGATGTCTGACAGTAGGGCGATGGTTCTCTAAAAAACTTCACATCCCTAAGTCACTAAATTGTTCATTTCAATAAAAAAACTTCATGGATTTCGAAAATCGATTCGTATTCTTATAGAGATCACTTATGAAGAAGATATAGTCTATCTCTACAATTTCCTTGAAAAATATCTTTTATAGTAGAACTTCTGCAGTGAAGAACTTAGTAAAAGTTAATATTAGTTTATATCTATCCTATACACGAGGATTTAACAATGGAATGGAGTTCTGTTCCTCTTAAACACGATAAACTCATACATAATTGTATGAACAACCACTGACACCATACACCTTCAAATAAAAATATTTACAGAAGCACCTTTATTGTCGCTGGACTAAAAGCGAAGAGCGATTACGGTGGAACCCCCCGAATTGCTAATATTTAGTGGTATTTTAGAGCTTGCGGCTGATTAACCTGGTATACTGATATCAAAATTGTTCTGTAAATTTTTAAGTGATACATTCTCTCACATTGAGTTCAAATAAACAGGCAACACCTCATTATCTACCTATTTATTGAGATAAATAACTTTCAAAACCGATTTCTTCGGAATAATTGGTGAGCCAAATCGTCAAATCGTAACCCTAATTAAAAATAAATAATATAAGTAACAGTGACCGTTAATAATACGTGGGGTATCGCTTCACGTCAAAGTTGAAATGATGATATTTGAATAGATGGCTAGCGAAGACAAGCAACTATTGGTAAATAAATGTACTGATTAATTCAAGCTAAGTGTAACAGTGTTAACAGGTTTTAACCAGTCTCTTAGAAACTATCCCAATTTTTCTGGATGGCGTTTTTTAACGAGTTAGTTTTCTACGCCTAACCCCCTCCTCTATCCGGACTTGAGACGGGCAATAGCCCCAGAGGGGCTCCAGGTGGAGAAACTATTCACAATTCATCACAATACTAGGCGGTGATTAAAAATTATGTTCTTCAGAGTAACTTATAGAACAAATCAAAAGATGTACGTAACTAAGCAAGCTTCATAAGAATGAATTACCGAATGATTCATATACGGCAAACCTAACATGCAATGTTCTAACAACACATAATAACATCCCAAAATTTGATAGCACATCGATAGCTATTATTGCACTGGCTCATATATGATTTGTAAAATATAAAAACCAACAGTGTGCTAATTTTTACTGCACCAGGTATTGCCATATAAATGTAGACCTTACTATATTACCAGTGATTTCGAAAAAAATGCCCACAAGCTATAATCTGCTGTTAGTTATAACCAATGTTACACGACAGAAATTAACACCGTTTATTGTACAAAATCAGACATCAACGTAATGGTACAAAAACACAAAAAGAAGTAAATCAAAAGATACTAACTTGCACATAAAACATCTTATTGGTAGAGCTTCCTGGAAGGGTTGACATGGATTGAGCTTTTTTGATGCTGTAAATAGGAGTGCATAATCAAAACATTTTGATATTGATAGTCGCGAAGAATTAAAGGAAGAAGAAATATGAGAAAACGATCAATATCACAAATATATGTAACTACTATTTTATGAACAGTAGTATAAATACAAGAAAGCGGTATTATTGCCAATTATAATTGCTATGAATCGTTTTAAAAAGTGCTAATAAATGCATAATGTACAAAGACATTTATTCGTAGGTATTATATAACAAAAGCCATTTATAATAGTGGTAGCAGTAATACAATAGCTAGTGGTAGTAGTAATAGTAGTATAGCAAAAAACAGTGATATTCTCATCACCTTTTCGTATAACGAGAATTATAACCAGATCAAATCGATATTTTAGGCCATGGACTAAATTATAAACACACTGGTACTTGAAAATAGAACAATACTACAGTTCGTCATGATCAATGCTGTTTGCTCTATATATATATATATATATATATATATATATATATATATATATATATATATATATAAAGCAACCAAAAAGGTTGACAACTAATCTAAGTACACGAAAGTATTATTTGAATTAATGTATGTTTTAAGCTGGATTAAAAACATATTTAAAAAGTATAAATAATTCAAAATGAAGATATTATTATTTTATTAATTTATCATACACTTCACCGCTTAAATGCTATGCTCAATTATCACAAATGAACCACTGGTTACACAGTCTATGTTTATTCCGTAAAATTGCCTATTGATTTACTAGCTATATTCATTAAACACCATCACATACGTATTTTTTATTCTTTTTATAAATCAAATGGAAAACAAAAAGGGGACAGCAAGGAAGAACAACAAAACAAAAAAGTTTTGACAATATTCTGAAAAAAAACATCTTAACATAAAATTCATGTATACATGTGAAACGAAAAAAACTTGAATGATAAATAACGTTATTTAAATAGCTCCACCAAAAGTTTAATCATTATTACTAAGGAAGCGAATTCGGGTTAAACCGCTTAATCAACAGACTAAAATCGTGATAGATCATATAGTCATGCAGTGCGGAAAAGAGCAGCTCTACTAAAGGCCAGCGCTTAAGTGCAAAAGGATTAGAGGATAGACTGAGAGCTGGAGAAAGCTAAGCTACCTGAAAAACCCTCGACTAGGAGGAAATGACCGTCTATTGATAGGATGACCATTGGGAGGGCCAAGTATATTACGTGAAGAAGTGATCATAGATCTATCTTCAACACGTTGATATGGATGGCGTGGATAACCTCTCTTAGGATATTGGTCATTGATCGGAATGCGTGGCTTATGTTCCAGTTGATCACAATCCTAAGTTAAAAATGAGAAATCGTAAATGCATAGAGATTAAAGTAAAAATGATCTATCCGACTGGAAACAAATACCTAGGAGGTATGAGATTCATGTCCAGTCAAACGAAATCGAATTAGTAATTAAACACAAGTTCATGTCCTCGTCCAGTGTGAAAACTGAGAACATTATCTCGCAGCCAATAACCCAATAGTAGAGTACTTTAACCACAAAATCAGTTAAAAATTCAAACAAATATTACAGAAATTAAGGTTTGGAAAAAAAGGCAATGAAACGATGTACAAAACACGAGTCCCAATAAAATTGCAGTAAGATTACATAGAATAAAATCGGAATTAGGTAACAAACACTGGATGTGAACCACTATGGATGATAAACAACCTTTCAGAAGTGATTATACAAAAACAGCTAGCTGTATATTCATTTCTAATTTTTGATTTGAATGTGGACATTACTACTGACAAGCGGTTTCAGGAGAAACATAGCAGCATGATCTGATCATTGCCATCAAATTCTAAGGAAATTAGTTGAAATCATAAAGTGAGATACCGAAACTTGTGCTTGTATGAATAAAACTTGATGAATATGATAATACAGTTACAAGGTAAATTTGTGTTGATTTGAAACAATATGTGTATTCTCTGAAGAAGCAACTTTGATTAAGTTGTAAAATGTCAAAAACTTAACTTACCACTCAAAATACCCCAAATATGTATTATCACAATAGGAAAAAAGTTTACATACAGTAAATCCATGTCAAAAACTATGCCCTAAGAATGAAAATATTATAAATCCAATAAACAAATTTCAAGATAAATTTTGTAGAACTTACAGGTTCAGAAACAGATGATGTTTTAGAGTACGAAGCACATTCATCAATTATATCTGCTGCATCGAATTTACCTTGTCTGCGGTAAAGAGCAACCAAATTTCGAAGAGTTGTACCAACCGTTGGACTGTATAATGAAAAGATAAAATAGTTTGTCAATGGAAAACTAGAAATTTGTATTAATTAAGTTTAAAAATTCTCCTGCAATCAAAAATCAAGAATTTGAATTTAGTGGTAACAACAAATTACCGACAATGATGACAAGCAATTGGGGGTTCCAATAAATAAGTTAAATTAGAGAGTGAATATCAACAGAAATGAGTGAATATTAGATTTAATTCAATTCGGATGATCTTGTTACTATTTTTGACTGAAATTTGATTGACCGTGGTTGGCACATAGGCATCTTATAAGGAATATTTCGATGTAGCCATCATGACACAAATTCACATAGGAAAAGATGGAATTTGGCTAGCAGTCGAGTTTACGACGCGCGTCTCGCCCTATTTAGGGCTCGTCAGTCGGATGTACCTGCATTCCGGATTAAGTCCAGCTGACGAGCCACAAATAAGACGAAAAGCGCGTCCTAGATTCCACTGCCAAACATATTTCATTTATCCTATATGAATTTATGGCACAATGACTATGTCGAAACGATCATCATTGGATGCTTATGTGCCACTTACTTACTTACTTACGCCTGTTACTCCCAATGGGGCATAGGCCGCTCACCAGTTTTCTCCAACCAACTCTGTCCTGGGCTTCCCGCTTATGTGCCAACCAAAACGAAATTCACTATAAGATTAAATAAGTTAACTGTCTGATTGAATAGACTATACAGGATACTTAGTCTTTAACCAGGGTTTATAACTATTTATTTCTATGCAAGTATAAATCAATATAAAACAATACTTGTATGTTGAAAAGCTGATTAGCTTAAGTAAGCATATTAACTAGAAGGTTTAAATGATAAACCTAGAAATGTGAAATGAAAATCCTTAACATATATATGTAGATCATAACACAATCATACATATATTGGATTTTGTTAATTGTACTTTAAGTAAATAAAATTCAATAGTAGAAATATACAAAAGTTAATGTAAATAAATAATAATTACCTTGTTTTAAGAATAATTTACCTGATAAGTCAGTAAATGACTGCATGTACTTCAAAAGCTTACTTTTAACAAAGAAATATTAGCCTACCCAAGTAAAATGACGTGAATATTGTCATAAATTATGAATGTGAGCACATGTGAATATCAATAAATCAATGAATATAGTTAAAGACCAAAAAGTAATTTATAAAAGATTATTTCGACTATTCATTAGTTAGGCTAAAATTTTGTTAGTTTCTATTAACCCAGTAATTTTAAGAAATTAAATCAAGAGAGAAAACTTAGCATTCACTAATCAATAGAGATGGCAAAATGTAGATTTTTAAAAATGAGATTTTCTTTTCTAAGTAGAACAGAAAAACAAACTCAGTTTGGCTTGGAGTAAGAAGCAGAAAAAATTAGCATTGGAAAAATTGCTCCATATATTTAAACAAGCCATATTTAAAAAAAGGTACTGAAGAAAGAAAATAATAAGAGGTTAAAACAAACGGTTTGCAGTTATTAGCAGACAATTGCATTTTTGCTTAGAACTAACTCTATAGTGAATTGTATTCAAAAGTTTTATGGTCAAACTTTTTCCCAACACTATGAAACAGAACTGAAAGAAAGACGCAAATATTGCAATAGTAGAAAAGCACTAAGAAGACTTTAGGAAATAGTAATAAGGAGCACAACATACTGAAGACAAGCATATTGCATGGTGCTGACTGACTTCATGGAGCACAATAAAGACGCTAATTAATGAGCAAGTGTAGGTTAACCTGGGTATAAACACTCTCCAACCTCTATCTAGTTGTTAACTTAAGATGATGAAAGTTAAAGGTATTTTATGATTATTTAGGAAAGATAAGCTTCTTAAAAGAGACTGAGTTTTATGTTATATTAACCAGAAGGGTTAAGTGAGGCGTCATTTTCTTTCACATTTGTCCTGCTGCATTAACTTCATCATAGGCAGCCTCATGTAAATGTAAATCGGCGAAAATCATTAAATATTGTATCAACAGAGGATGAATGGAAATCATAATTGAGAAAACAGTGAGTGAAAATAAGAACATTGATTGCAATCAAAATTTAAGTATAAGAAAGAGATTCCAAAAGGAATCAATAAGATATCCTGAAGGAAGATTTGAAGCTTATCACAACAAACTTCGGATTACCACACTTAGATCTCATAATTTCTAATTAGCACATGCAGCGATGTCATGTTGATTACTGTATTACCATTACAAATAGTTTACACAGACTGCCACTGTTGAGTTCATTTTCCCAGACTCATACAATTAATGTACTTTTAACGGGTTGAAAATCAAAATTAATATTCAATTTAGTTTCATTTATTCACGGTTTTATCAGAGTTGTTGCTCGATTTATTGTTACCTGTCGTTTTCTGAATCGTCAAGAGAAATAGGTTTACAGGAATGCTATACCTACGCATAAAACAAAATAACATGTTCAAAAATTCTGAAGTTTTCAGTCAATACTTAGAGTAGCATCATATGATATTGATTTATTTTTTTTTTTAAAAATATTAAACATCCTTTCGTCTTCTGTAGTTAAGATGAAATGCTTGTATATGCAGATAAAATAAATATTAATGTGAAATAAAATTATAAAAGGAATTAGTTCTTAGAGAAAAATTTTTTTTAAAAAGAACAGTTTCACTTCTCTTTCTATAAAAAGAAAGATAAACGAGTAAAACTACGAACAAATAAAAGATTTTCAGTATTAGATAAACTTTTAAATTATCTACAGTTTTTACTACTAGTCATTAAGAAAAAAACATTTGTTATTCAGATGTAAATGGAATTAGTCAGAAGTGGGATCGTGTTAAGTATGACAAGAATAAACTAAATAACACTAAAACGAAAAATTATATTTAGCTGCTCATTGCTTCCAAGTATTTATTGACAGGTTCAGTATGCTGAACGCTTGAAACACTGAATTCTTATGAGATTTTTACAAAACAACAACATTTACTCGAAACATCAGTAAAAACCAAAGGGCAAAGAATGTGAGGAAGCTTTACTTCCGAGGTTGGTTTTATGATCCGGAAGAGAGAAGACTTATATGATGATTGCTGGAGCCTTGAAATTCTTAGAATATTCGAGGAAAATACTCACATAAAATATGACACTCGAACAACTGGATTAGGATATAATATTATCAATCAGCTTTTAAAGGATTTTGACCGGCTAAAAGTAATTTTGATAATGTTTTGGCTTCTAAGTGGTGTTTCAAACGGTTATGCTAATCGCCTAACAATTCTACAATTGATATCTGTTTGTGATGAAAACCAACCACCTGGAGCTGTAAGTCTTCTACCTTATTGATAAAGTGAATTAGTGAATGACGGATATGTTTCTGTGGTAGACTATAGTTTTATGGGAATCATGTTCAAAATAATATAACGATATAATCAATTACGATCGAATAATATTAAGGTAAACAAGAATGAAGATAAATCAAAATTTTCTACTTACTTTTCCGAACGAGAAATACGCGACCACATTGATTGAATAGTTTCACTCATATCCTTATTTGCATTAGTCAGTTGACCAGATTGACGTTCTTCTGCAAGCATCCAAATAGGTTTGTTTGTATCAGAAATTTTTCCGAATTCTTTTTCATGAGCTCGTGTAAGCACCTCTTTATATAATTTCTCAGCTTCAGCATATTTACCTTGTTTTAGATAAGCTGAAGCCTGAAGGAAAATATTATAACAATAGGAAATGCAGTTAATTTTAATTAGCATCACTCAATTGACAATGCGTGTATGCATTATGTATTAAACAATAAACTAAACAAACATAAAATGATCTATATTAAAATTAGAATGGTTTAAATTAGGTGTGACCAGTAAGTTATGATTGGATTCGAAATGTAGGACATCTATCCGCTGACCAATGCTTGTGATATGCAACATTTTAGTTATGAATGTCAATATTGTAAATTTTAGATAAAATATTTTCACTATTATATAATTAGATGATTAATTTATAACAGATCAAACAATCTGTTAGTTGACCAATCAATTATAAACAAACGATAATCTTGTATGAATATGCATCAGTTTAAGGTGCCAATAAAATTAAAATTATGGCAGACGAAGTAAAAATATTTTCAATTACATTTATGGAGATTAGTGTTTTTACATATTTGAAATTATCAATCAATCATTGTTAGACAACCATTAGAAACCTTGAAGCACTGGACGGCCGTTTCGTCCTGGTATGGGACTCATCATCAGTGCGCACCCACGACTCCTGCATCTCGCAGGATTCGAACCCGGGGCTTTCGGTTTTGTGCACGAAAGCCTAACCTCTGGACCACTGGGCCAGCATCCAACGGTGTTAATGTTAATGCGTTCGTGCACAAAACCAAAGGCCCCGGTTTCGAATCCTGCGAGATGCAGGAGTCGTGGATGCGAACAGCTGATGAGTCCCATACCAGGACGAAACAGCCGTCCAGTGCTTCCAGGTTTCTAATGGTTGTCTAACAATGATTGATTTCAACTGTGTAAAAATAAAAATAATAATCATAAACATAATGGAAAAAGTGAGGATAGAGAATACATCTATGTAGTGAACAAAATGTAGGAATAAAAAGCATGAAACAACACCCGAGGAACATGATTAGTAAAAATCAAACTTGATAGTTCAGTCGCGATTTTATTGACGTGTAAGTAACATTTAATCGCCTAGATTATAAATGACTTTAAGCATGTCTGCCATGTTTTTAAACACTAGAGAAAAACCCTATTCTACTGGTTGGTTGTTCTAGCCTTTGATATCAATTTATTCGGAGGTTTGTGTGGATAGTTTGGTCTCGTGGTCAGTTATCAGTCGGTCACATTATTTTGCTGTGAATCATTTACCGACTGAATTTCTGTTCATCATCCTAATAAATCCAAAGTCGTTATCTTTTAATATGACTTAGACTAATAGTCAACAACTTTATGGACTTATACCATGTTTAGGTTTGGTCGTTCAAAGCCTTTCACCAACCTGTTTCACGCTAACCAGCATTGCACACAGAGATATGTAGAGGTTATGATATGTGTTACACACGTCTAGTTAACAAGGCCTATTTCTTTATCAATCAGTTTATAAACCCTGTCTTGATATTGGCTACTTGATTCAACTATAAGTGAACGAAAAGTTTTATTGTTTGTCTTCAAAAATGTGTCAATCTGTTTTTGAGTGGAGGTTAGTGATACTACCCCACATCTGAACCCGAAGTGGGCGCGGCAAAGTTCAATCCTGAAATACACTGTGTTTCGGAAGCTGATCAATGAAATAACGCCTCAAAAGTGTAGTTAGTGGTATACACTTAGGTAAAATATTCATGAATCAACTTGCAAAGTATGATCTGAAAGAATGGGTTGAACAAAATAGGTAATAGGCATGTGTTTAACACTGTTTAAATTGTATAAATAAACTTGTTATGGAAAAGATTCTTAGGGGACTAGATATTCTATGCAACAAACAAAACAATTATTAGATGTGACTAACAACTGAATAGAAAAAAGCTCTAGAAAGTCATCTAGTTTTGCCTGATATATGTAACTGTAACTGTCTGGTCAGCAAAAATAAGTCAAGCAATTGTATGTAACTCAGAACCCATAACATATGTGTACCAATTCATACTGCTCCACAACATCAGCAACAACAACAACATTATCACGCAAAATCCCGGTGAAGAAGAATTTGTAAAGGTATCTATGACAGTAAAAACCATTAGGGGAAGAAAGAAAACCTGTATAAAAAAATTTGAGACACAGGATCTAACGTAAGAAATAGTGGATGTATCAATGCCATAGCGAGCCATGTTACCTAATGTCTCCAACCACCGGTGAGGATAAACGCACGAACCTTAACTAAACAGTCTGCACCTACCTACATAGTTTAGTTCAGTTATCCGTGACTTCGACTGGTACTACGTCTTGATTTGTTCACCCATAACCATTCCTGCCCTACTACTACAGCAGATATTTTCCATCAAGGTAGGCAGCAATTAGACAAACATACAAATATGCATCTCCAATAAAGAGTTTGGAAACTCAAAAACTCCCCTAAAAAGGGAGAAAATACCCACATTCTAAAGCCAAACTTCCGGAATAACAGCTGAATGACACGCTGAGGTACAGGCTTTAATTCTTTTTAAAACTGAGATACTTGTCACAAACGTGAAGACAGTAAGTATTCCTGAACGTTACGTGACTTTCGAAGATAATAATGGTTAGATTTGTTTGGATTTTTGATGAGATTTGAAAGTTAAAAAATAATGGAAGACCAGTTTGATTGATTTCTTAACTGCAAAAAGAATATCTTTTATGAATATCAGAAAACTCCATGCTAGAAAGATAGATCAATTGCTAGATGCCAAGATTTTATTAAATTCTGAAATAAAGATATATAACTATCCATTTACCAAATAAGTTAAAATATGGCGTTAGGTCTTTTGCCTCTCATGAAGTTAAAAAGTGACGAGAGAAACTGTAAATCATATAATTAATAAAGCATCGATTTCTAAGGCAACACACAATAAACATCTGACTTCTTGAAAAATCACAAAAAATTTTCGCGTGACTTATTCACATGATAGTATTTAAGTGAGAGTACGTGTATCCCTTTATTACATGAAAATCAAAACTTTATATTATTGTGTGGATTATTATTGAGTGGATTAATTTGAATCTTGATAACTGAACTACTTGTATGGGTTCCGCGATATTAAGTTTATTTGATACATTTTACCCAGTAAAATTAAGGATACATGTTAATTATTATTTGCGATTCAACTACTCTAGTATATTTGCCCTCCAGATTCAAAACAAACGGTTAGTATTCTAGAACCGAAGTAGTGTTTACTAGGCTATTGAGCGTAGGTATATGTTTATAACACGAGTTTTTAGTGAATTTTTATCATTCTTATAATAATTTACTAGACAGGATTGATTGACCTCTCTTAGTATACGCTGCATGTACGTACAAAGTTCTATGTTGACTAGGTATACGCTTTAACGTGTGAAGGAATAAGTTCTGGAATCGATTTAAGCGAAAGCAGCAATATTCACAACCGATTGAGTACATTTAGTTAGTCAATCGCAGACAGAGAGAAACAACCACAGCTAAAAACGGTTGTCGTAATATATATCATCCATACAGTTAATAATTCACCAAGCGTTTGGTATAAATGTCAATTTTACATGGTTTGTTTCCAAACATAAATTTATCAGCAACGTTAACGTCACCTATAAAACATGATGTAAATGAGGTATTGCTCTGTTCAAGCATAAAATAAATGTATACACATTAAAAGAAAGCTCTGAAAGAAAAAACAAGTAGTATGGTAAAAATATGAGCACTTCTGGTGGGATTATTGGTCATATACTTTAAATATGAATATGGCCATTACAATTCGAATTGCACACTTACAATCTATTCATAAAAAGAAAGTACGTTACTAACCTACGATGATGTCGTACACGTAATTATAATGAAACATTAGTTTTAACGATAAAATTCTACGGAATCTCATAGCATAAGCTGTTTGAAACACATTCATTTTCATAAGTCATGAGTTGCAGTAGAGCTATTTCTAATCTCAATTACGTTTTTCACTCCAAAAATAAAAAATGCATGAAAAAAGACAAACTTAGTAGGTTTTACTGCATCATGAAGCAAAAGCAACAAATTATTTGCCAAATACTTAGGTATCAGCTACACTAAGTGCGAGGACTAATGATACTACTCGGTTGTTCAAACTGAATTTGATGAGGCAGGGTCTGAACCTGGGATTGTTAGTGGGACATAGATGGAATCAAAGCATGGCTGCGTTGCTGCGCGCTGATTGGCTAATTTCCTATCCAATCAGAGCTTGATCGACTCGTGGAGAACATGGTAGAAAATTCTCGTGTTGTTAACTGCACGCTGATTGGGTAAATCTAATCCAGTCGATCACGTGAATTACTATCCAGAAGCTTCTCATGTAAATACTATAAAGACACTAACGTTGTATCTATTTTTGCCTTCGCCTTCGGTTTCTTATTCCCATCTAACCTTGCTATTTGGAACATAATCTTTTCCTGTTCCACCGTGTTCTTGATTCTTTGGAACTTGTCTAGTGTGTTGTGGTCAGAGAATGCTAAGCAATAGGAATTAGCTGGAAATTATTCAAGCAAGCGTTACAACAGGGATTGAAGTTAAAAGTCGGACGTCTTGACTGCTAAGTCACCGCTCCATCATCATGCAGAGTAACATATCAAGGGAACCGAGAGATAATATATCATGACACAGATAGAGGACAAATAGATATATTCAAAACTTGACAACAAATTATGGTTTCTACACTGTACATCAAAAACATAATAGTAAGAATGGTTAACTATGCGTTCCTATTGAATACTTTTGAACTACAAAGAATCAGGCAAATCAACTAAGTTTGGTTGTCCCATTGACCCTGATAAGAAAATATGTTCAAAACAGCTGTAAGACTTGGTTAATTGGCACGATGCCTTTATCTGATAACTACAATGCCTTTACATTGTAGTTTCCAGTGAATGTCAAGACATTCTGATTAAGCATGTATGCAAACTGACACAAACACGGAAACTCAGGTAATACAGATTTTCAACGTTATGTATTTTATTTGCCGGTCCACATGTGGACTAAATATCGGTTACTCCACGATTATACAAACATTAAATGATTCTCAGAAGAAATAGACTATGTAAACAAATACCACCTGTAGCAATAATCCCCTCATTCATTATATCTTCACACATTTTAAGGAAAAAAATTCCTTGAATGAGAAGAATACCAAATACAATAAATATGAAATAGTGCTATTTATCAAATGAACCCGCTTAAATTCTTTAAATTTCTATGATCAGGTATTTCATAAAAGTAATCAAGTCAATCGATAGGTGAAACATTTTGTTGTACTGCTTAAAATCAATTTCCATTCTTTTCATATCGAGACTATATGGTTACTGTTTGACATATATAAATATATATATATATATATATATATATATATATGCACTACTCAAATAAACAATAAAAATGCACAGATAGAAAAAAAAATGAACAAACAGCCACACCTTGAATTGTTATTATTAGATAAGGGTGTAACAACAACCGATTGACATACATTTGAATAAACAACTTAACTGGATTAAAACTTTTGGAACGCTAAAAAGGGAAATAATTTACTCAAAAAAGAAAACTTACCAAGTTATTTTTAGTTTTAGCTACATTTGGATCGTCTGGCCCAAGATCGTGTATATAAATTTCCAAAGCGCGTTGATAGTATAACTCCACCTAATAACATTAGATATGAAAATATGCCGAGTGAGAACAATATAAAAGAACCAGTAAAGGAAAAAAAGAGAAGGTAAACAATTGTCATTAAACAGATAGATGAAAAATTGCTATATCAAGGCAATTCACACAAGATGCCCATAAGTCAGTAAAGACTGGCCTTGATTTAGTTAGGATTATCGGCAACGTGACAAATCAAATCCTTGCTGATAATGATATCGTTAAGATTGAAGTTGAAGATCCCAAAATAAACAAGAATATTTATCCGTTAAATATATACAATGAGTTGCATACAGTGTTCATTTTACAAAACCATCAGTATGAGGAGGGAATATGAAATAGGTTCAGTAAATTTTCTCAATTTCATATTGCATAATCAATTAGCCAGTCAGAAAAACCTTCGACTAAGCATTTCATGAACTTGAAAATCTAGGGGAATAGAACTATTGTCAATCAACAGAACGAAAAATCATCTATTAACTTACGACTTAACCGAAAAATTCCCTTGGTGCTAACATACCATCAAACACCAGACGTCTTTAAATTAAAATATACTGACATATTCATATCTAATATAAAATAGTATTTATCATGACTAATTTCATGGTGTTGACTAGACTACGTGATTGTAACCTATTTCTGTTGTATGAGACCTAATATAGCCCGATAAGTCCCTTACTTGAACGTGTTTGACATGAATACCGATGGAATGAATAAATCAGCTGAGTACAAAGCATTGAAGTAGACTTCAGAAAAAGTTTCATCAACTTTTTAACTTTGTTAAAGAAGCGACGACTATTATTGATTTAGATAACAAGAACATAGTTTCATCCAACTTCGATTACCATCCTTAAATCAATAACTGTGCCTGAATGTAGAGTGGTTAAGAATTTTATTCACATAAAAGCTGAAATTCGTGTTCAATAAGTTATACTTTAAAGACCAGCATTTAAAGAGATTCCGAAGGGTGAAGAGTGTCGTAATTGATACACTGATGCCATATTATTATCTTATTCGACACACTAGGAGTCCATTTAAAAATAAGAATACTGTAGTTTGGAATTCACTCTTTTCGTATTGCAAGGTTAATTTTTGGAAACTTTAAAAGGTAAAAGTGGGTGTAGGTGCGGAGCAAACAGTACTACCTTTTTACAATTTCTACAAACTAGGAATGAAATGTATTTATTTGACAAAAGTAAAATAATGAAATATTCGGGATGTATTTTTTAATATCCACAAATAGCATGGAAAGCATTCGCATTAAGCTCACCTCTTCATACTTCCCTTGATTTTGACATAATAAAGCCAGATTATTTAATTGTTTTGCGACATCCGGATGATCTTGCCCCAAAACCTAAAAAAACGTAGTGTAGTCAATTAATGATGCATCAAATTTATTGTTTTAATCTACGCCTAGAAACGCTCATCACAGTTGGATCTTGATTCTAATGACCAGGTGACCTCACGACAGCACGTTATTAATTTCTTTCGTCCAGAAATGACTGAGTGAGCTGGAGTGCAAAGATGATTCAGTCACAGAAAGGGATAATATGAAAGACTTTGAAAAATTACCTTTTGAAAGATCTTCCCATACTGGTGCATGTTAGCAAGGTTAGAGGTAGGGTAAATAAAGAAATACGGGAAACAAGTTGATTTTGTCAGTCTTTTGCATTCTAGTTGTTCAGATCTTTTTTGCAACAAAATATTATGGTTCAGATTGTTTGCACCGTCTGCACATCAAATTTTTCTGTAATCTCTGCATCATTTCACATTCTTCGGGTTGGACAGATTTCTTACTTAGAGCTGAAGTTGAATATACTAAATTTATTACTCCATTTATTTTACAGTACCACATCTGTGACATTTGTGATAGTTTGTGACAATTGGAGTGCATTTGTAATCGTTGGAAAGTTCTTGGTTTGAGTTGATCTTAAATAGACATCATTTGCTATATAAGCGTTGAAATTTTAGTGCGTCACCTTTGTTAACTTACATATAGCCGAACGTATTTAAAAAAGTGAAACCCGTCGGTGGACAGACTATCTGGTTAGCTTCTTTATAATAACCGCGATCAACGGTTAGCAACGATAAATGAATCGATCGCGGTACTGCAGATAAATTCACTCTTTATCTTCTTCTAAACTTTGAGTTATAGTACTTTTTTATAATCCTTTGCACTCTCTTTTCAAATTATGTTTTAAATGTTTAGTTCCTCACACTACCATTGCTACTGAAATTAGTGACTTATTTGCTAATTATCCTGTTAATTTTATTTAATGGTACACATGTGGTATGGCAACTCAGGCTAGTGAACATCTCTTAGTCTGTTTTGATTACCGTTAGCTGACGGAAGGCTTAGTGAAGAGGTGGAATTCTTAGTCCCCCGTACTGATTCAAGATAATCAAACGAAAGTATGACACTGGTTCAGGTAGTTATTGAAACCAAGTACGAGAATATAGGCTTCGTACCTCGAGTCTACACAATCGTGGCTGCAGATTATAACTAACATAATAAAAATTTGTTTCATCGTCAAAAATTTATTCATGACTGATTTTTTTAAGTTTGGACGAATCATAAACACTTGCATTAATTATTTGCGTACTAATACTTTTTGGTCACTTACATTTCTGTTTCTTAGTTTCCCTTGACCTAGTACATTTTGATGTCTAATGCAATTTCCAAAGCACAAGAGAAGTGTTTTGTTAGACATTACTATAGGAAAACAACACAATACTGTGCTTAATTGATCTTAATGAGTACAAACAGCACCTGCATTGTGTTCAGGAGTGACCTAAAATAACAACCCTCTTCGATCACCAACCTACTTAGTTAACCAATAAATGAGCAAAGGACAAAGTAGTAATACTTTTAGGTTATTAGCAAGCACATCCACGTAAAAAACAAACGTATTGCCTATTACAGATTAGAATGATGTAATAAAAAAACTTAATTATGCAATCGGGAATTCTCAAACCAGTGGATTTACATATCCATACAACCTGTGAAATGGCAGTTCGCCCCACCTTCACAGTGAAGAATTTTGCAGCAAATAAATAATCCTTAGAATCTTGGAGAAATCAGACAAAACCAGCAAATGAAACGGGAGTGAAAAATTAACTTACAGTTTCCCTAATTAGCAAAGCCCTTTTACATAATGGTTCTGCCTCCTTGTATTTTCCACGTTTACCATAAAGCACAGCCAAATTGTTCAAAGTTGCAGCCACCTACAAGATACGCATTAGGGTTAAAATACAGAAAATACAGCAGGATGTTCAGGACCCAACGTTTTTTCTCGAATGGTTAGGGCATCATTCAACAATGTTGCAGCTTCTCTATATTTTCCTTGATCACTAGACAAGAAATTAACAAGAAATTTCTATTTACCGATAGACAAGAGCTAAAATATTCAGCATTGTTGCAACATCAGGATGATTGCGTCCACTATTCCTTTCGAGATCCTCCAAAGCTTGTTTGCACAGTGGGACTGCTACTTCATAACGACCTTCACTAGCATACTGTATCACCAAGTTGTGAAGTGTTCGCAAACGTGTTGGTATTTCATAATTATGAACACCCTGTGACATGGAAACGGTTTGACTCTGTGTCATCCCTATAAGTTAATAAACCACACCATAATTTATCAGAAAGTGAATAAAGCAACTATAAGCATATATGTGACCGTCTTTTATCATTGTTTGAGCATAAAAATTTGCTGAACGTTTTCTTTAGTTAGAAATGCAGCACACAACCCAGATCATTCTTATAAGTTCATGCACTTCGAATAACACAATCAATACAAATATTATAAGCGATAGCAAGTTTGAGGAGAATCAGGAAATTTTTCTCGAATTATGCAGTAACTACATATTCATTTGTACTACATAGCACAGCGGTATCCAATTACTTCTACAGCATAAGAACTTACCTAGTTTATTGTTTGACCTTGCCAGTAAATGAACCTTTAATTCTAGAATATAAAAATCCACTTAAAGGGCTACTAAAAAGGCGTTCAATAAGCATAATGCAAACGGAAGTCTCCAATAGACAAAATGGATGCTCATACGCCATGAGCTAAAACTATTGTGCATGAAGGATTAAAGACAACGGTGCCCGAATTGTCACAGGCAAACTAAGAGTTACACTAGTGATCTCTTAGTAAGATGAGGCACAAACCTATGACTTAAAAGTTAGAAGATTCTTTAAACAACTAAGCCATATTATTCGAGATAGTTTTTGAGTCATATATTCCAAAGAATCGAACTTTTACCCAGGGGCGACCAAACCATGGTATGGCATAAATCCATGAAATCACTGACATCTGCACTGGACCATGTCAGTAGGTGTAAACTATCTGGTTGGTATCCGCGAAATGGTAGCAACCGATGATTAAAGACGTTGAATGACATGGATCACAATCGCTTGCAATGACCCAACTGCACTCATTCCTTGTCTTCTCTCAAATTCTAATCTTCGGAATTCTTCGCCACCATTATCTTCCTCTTTTTAAGTTTGTTTCACTAGATTCTACTTCTTAAGTGATATCTTCGAACCCTAATCTCTCCTATTACTGCTACTAATTCTACTACCTCTACCACTATTGGATTTGAAATGACAACTTAGCCTCTGTGCTAATGTGGTATGGCAACAGGAATTGATGCAGATGTGAGGGCGAGGATTGGCAAAGCGAGGGTTGCATTTCTACAGTTGAAAAATATCTGGGACTCCAAACAACTTTCAACCAAAACCAAAATCAGGATTTTCAATACAAATGTCAAGACAGTTCTACTGTATGGAGCGGAAACATGGAGAACTACGAAAGCCATCATCCAGTAGATACAAGTATTCATTAACACATGTCTACGCAAACTACTTCGGATTCGTTGGCCAGACATCATCAGCAATAACGAACTGTGGGAGAAAACAAACCAGATTCCAGTGGAGGAGGAAATCAGGAAGAAGCGGTGGAAGTGGATAGGACACATTGCGGAAAGCACCTAACTGCGTCACGAGACAAGCCCTCACATGGAACCCTCAAGGCAAAAGGAGAAGAGGAAGGCCAAGGAACACACTACGCCGAGAAATACAGAAAGATATGAAAGGAATGAACAAACATTGGACAGAACTGGAGAGGGAAGCCCAGGACAGAGTTGGTTGGAGAAAACTGGTAGGCGGCCTATGCTCCATTGGAGGTAACAGGTGTAAGTAAGTAACATGAATTGATGTATGTACGTACGAAGTTCTACGTTGCAACTGACTGACTGAGTATTACTAAAAGAAAAGTTATGCGACATACATCCTGCATATTAAATGGTAATTATACTGCATAATCTATGTTACTACAAGGCCGATAAAAGTAAAATACACGAAAGGATGGCAAGTAATAGGTTACGAGTGTATATACTGCACGGTTTACGTGTGAAAGCGAGTCCAAGCAATCGAATTTCGACAACTAGATGACATCCTATGGGTAGTAATTAATTTGTTCACAGCTAAAGGATTCCTGCTCATTTAGACGTACGAGTTTCAGTTTTTAAAAATGTACTCTTTAACGTTTAAGAAGCCTAGTGCAGGAAGTTGCTAGCTGATTAGTGAAGTCTGATAACGCACCTTGCATTGAACGAATTATAAACGATACTACGGACTTAAAACAAAAAATTTTCGAAGCCTAGCCACAACCACAATAAATCTAAGCGATTAAAAAAGTGACATTCAGGTAGATGATCGGTGATAATGGTGCCGGGCACTTATTAAATTTACCAGAAACTAAGTCAAAAACCTTTAGCATACCATTCGAAACCACCAGCATTTCGTTTAAACTAGACGAACTGTAAATTAAAACCATGTTAACGGGGTCTCTGTTCTGTAAGTCGAATGATTTAGTCATGAACCTTGCATTATCTTTACAGACATCGTTAGAATGTACTTACTAGCTTCTGGAAGTATGTGGTATCTAAAAAATCGACGAAAGCTTCATAGCTGAGTTACTTAGCAACTGAAGCCAAGCACTTCAAAGATACTCATCCTAAGCAACAAATATTGTTCAACACCGAAGAACGCACACTTCAAACTCCATTTAATATTTAGATCAGTTTTACAAGGAATAATGCCCTGAAATATCATTGTTCTCATGTGGTTGTCCAAATAAAGCTCCAATTACCCAAAAGGTGTATGGCATTGAATAGACATGATCCATCACAAAAAGAAATCTTACCGTACTGATCTCCTTCTTCTCTATCATCAGGAGGGAACCCAAGATCAAGGGCAGTTTTGTCATTATTTTTATCACCATCAGCTAGTCCCGAGGAGTCTACAGGTTCGGAAGAATCATACTTTTTCAATTCACTGCTGAACTGAAGGTGCTTCACTTCTTCTTCAAGTTGAACTATCTTTAGTTCACTTTTCCTATGTGCTTCTTGAGCAGCGGCAAGCTCATCCCTCAGCCAGGAGTTCTCTTGAAAAAGACGACGGCTCTGATACCGTAACTTTTGTTTCTCTGCTTCTACTTTTTGAAGATAGTCACAAAATAGTATTACAACCTAAAGCAAATACTATATAACTTGACAGAACTCACATTGGCATCATCTAAACCTTTGCAAATTTTCTGAATAATTGAATCTAAAGAGGATGCTTTTTCCTTGGCGTAGAGAATTTCATGCTGATCTGCATCCTTAGAATTTGCTATTAAGTCCAAATCAGCAGATATCTGCTGTTGTTCTGACCTCAGAGACTCAAGCACGAGAACGGTAGATTTCGTTTTACGAACTACTTCATCCCAGCACCAGAAGTCCACAGATGCTGACTTTCCAGACTGCACAGACATCAGTAGAAAGCTTATTATAAAATCGACAGAAATTAAACGGAATTAGCGGGATGAAGCCTGTAACCGCAACGACCAATTTCGAAACGTACAGAACTATTTTAAAGGTCCAATATCAATACATAGGTAAAATGTAACAGCATATAGTTATAAACACTAGGAAAGAAAGCTGACAATTCAAGTAGCATGTAACATAAGCAACATATTGCTTTAATTAATGAAGTTACGACAGCTTACTAATTAAAGCAATTTCGATTGCTTGTAGACATAAACGTTTGGCTAACGCCACAGTTCAGATTTAACTTAACTCCTACTCTACATGATACGATAAGAAAACCACTTGCTCTCGGAGATCCAGATCTTTGTATTCTATCATTTTTTTCGTAGCACTTATAGAACTGAGGGGGGAAACAATATAGAGTCCCACAATATGACGAAACAGCCCAACAGTGCTTCTAGGTTTTTAACGGCGGTCTAAAAGTGACTCATTCGTGATTTTAATCATAAATAACTATCCCCATAACTCTGCAATGAAAAAATTTAATTATTACCTACATAAAACCATATATTAATAATTTCTTAAAATAAGTAACTCTTCAGGTTCACAACGTCGATTCTGATCTCATTAGTTTTGCTAAACACGTTCCGACTGGAAGGCAATCGACTAAACACACGCGCTTATAACGAGCTCGAAGCTTCACGCTGTTCTATCCTAGTGTTGACTTCAACATTCTCTTAATCTGAATCATGCGTTATTTCTGACTTCCATTCATTGCCATTCTTAGCAAATGTCAATGCATGCCAATCAAGGACTCTAATATACCCGTTCACATAAGATAACATGGCCATACTGTAGAAAAAATGATCGTTTAAAGGATACTGTAAGTACTCAGTGACATTTTTTGATGCGAAAAAGACACATGTGCTTATAAACTAGGAAGAATTTTACTTCAACAAGCATATGAGTAATACCCACTAAATGGCACCTTCTACAGTCTTTGCACATGCATCTTTGAGGAATTTGGTTATAACAAACCAAATCAGTTGATCATAAGACACCTAGTGGTTGAAGTATCTCCAATAGTATCAGTAAAGTGAAGCATTTTCGAACTGTCAAGATGGCTACTTTTAATTTTATGTGCCTGTAATTTACTAGTTCAACGCGTTGGCTAACCACCGGAAATAATGGTAATAACTTTACAGAATGAAGTGAATATTTATATTATTTTCAACAGCTGAGTTTTATGTGCACCAAACGATAGCAGATCACATTGGACTTAACATCAAATGCACTGGTGTTGCGGTTTCCAGAACAAGGACGCTCAAAAGTGTGGACTATTAAAGCATAGAAAACGTCTCTTTTTAAATTAATGATGATAAGATCGACTCAGTAATGATATTTCGGCCTAAACTGAAAATAGAGAGAATATAGGCATTTTTATAAGTAGCAAGTGAGAGATTCTGATGAGGTTTCAAATACGGAAAGATTTAAGTTCACCGCCATACATGTGACCTGCGACAAAATGAACCAGTTGTCGGGAAGCGAAATCCAAGATAAATGAGTACAAAATTATTTTTGAACTGTACAGGCAGAAAACGTAGTGCATATTAATCAAGGTTGTTAGATTTGAGCGTCATGCTATGATCTTGTTTCACTGACGAACCGACCTGCATCGCTGGACTGCAGTATTGGTTAAATAACTCAAAAGATTTGTTGCAACGTAAATATATTCGTATGGGGGACCGCCACCATCGTTATAATGCCCAGACAACAATAGATGTCATTGGCAGAGAAAACGCAACTTTCTTCAACTCGATTGAAACATCCTTTGGCATTAGGCGTGCGGACGAACGATGAACGTTGTGGAATTATAAATGATGTCCTCTTTAAAGCTAACTTAAATTAAGTTATCTTTGGATATTTAAATGGATATTTGCTACTTGTTCTCGATCCAAATATGTGTAAAAGAACATTTTCAATAAAAAAAAACGAAGTTCCATTGGATGTTGGTGTTTATGAGTTTTAATTTGTCCCTGAAGACCTGAACAAAACCTTCACCCTTCCAGATGGCCCTGTCGTTAGTATGCAAAGTGATATGAAATGAACGGCAATGCGAAACTAAATGAAGGAAAAAGACATTTCGATAAACAGTACATGTTTGGTCAGCAAATCTCTAGTCACTTCTGTCATTTCTGACTGACTCGTATCTAGTGTATTTCAGCTGTGTGTATCAGAGATTGTAAATATTATCTTGAAAATGGATTGGTCAGGAAGAAGACTAACGAATCATCTTTTTGCTTTGCGACAGCATATAACCATTAATATTTCTTGTTTTCCAGGAATGACATTCCCTCTTGGCAATCAGGTAGCCTATGTCCTGTAAGAAAACTTTTTCGTCACAGCATGGACGTAATAGTTAGCATAAACATGAATGGTTCTTTGCGGAGGTTCATTCAACGTATATGTTCTACGAAGTACTATTTTTCAATAATGTTTGCCGTAAACTTACTCTTATAAATCCCGACCGTAACCGCCACCTTGACGTGGTGGTCGGGCTTGCCTATTGTGGTAATTCAACCGAACTATATTGGCTGGAACATATGTTCCTTAAAGTTCTACCATGCCAGATAGGTCGACTGGAGAACGATGAGACTAAAAGCGGCTACTCAAGGTCCAAGGGTGAAGTCGTACTGCTGACTGCAGAGGGGTGTGACAGCAGTAAGGTGTTTCCCTCGGACAACCATCATCTGCAGCGATGCTGCCTTCTTACAAAGAAGGAACGGGTAAGAAAAGGTTGACCCTAATAAGGTCACACCTCACCTTACCTCACGGATTACCATCTGTGGTAAGGCCTTTTAAACAAAAACGGAGTTAACACTTTGAATACTACCCTTAGAAAGGCTGTGCGTGACCGGCCTCAAGCAGTTCTCCTTTGGACACTGAGGTCACGCTCCTAGGTCGTTCAGGTCAACACTGTTCCGCCTTCCTTTTCAGGTTCCTCAGGTTCTTCAGCCAGGAAGCGACATCTGTAAAAGCACGCGAGACCAAATCGGTCGAAATGAAGTCCTTCCAACACCCCTTAACATCCCCCTTATCTACAGGACTAACTCTTCTCACATTCCTTTATCACCCCGCCCCTCTGCTGCAAACGATTCACGTACCCAAAACGTTACTTCTGGTCTCCTGAAAACCGATTGTAGACTACATGTTGGAGCTTTTAATGTACGGACACTGTGTCAAATAGGGCGACAGGCTTCCTTAGCTAGGACTTTAAAATCTCTTGCCATCGATGTATTCTGAGTCTCGGAAACGCGCATACAGAATCCGAGTATAGACATTTAATTAACCTCTCCATGTCAAGATAAAGAAGCAGCTCGATTTACTCTTCGTGTATCTGGAAGACCTGACTGCTTTCCGTTTCCCAGCTAATGTAGGGATACAATTAACCCGTAGGGCAGAACTAGCTCTCCTAGACAGGATCCCTGTAGATAGTCGTTTGTGTGCTTTCCGACTGAACAGGATAGTAAGGACTCGGAAAGGTAGGGACATCAGTCGTTGCCTCTTCGTCATATCTGCCTATGCCCCCACTGACTGCAGTTCAGACGAAGTGAAAGATGAATTTTACAGAAAGCTTTCGGACCTCCTCCAAAAAGCGAGGCGCTCTAATGTAGTAATAATGGCTGGTGACTTTAATGCTCAAGTTGGTAGACTAAGTGAAAATGAAAGACACCCAGGTGGATGTTATGGTGTTGCGGCCCCGAGAACAGACAATGGCGACCGTCTGCTGCAAGTATGCTCAGATAACTCCCTTTTTTTGCAAACACTAACTTAAGGCAAAAGGAAAAACATCTTGACCTGGCGACCCCGAAAGTCGTCTCAACGTTGGACCCAACTAGATCACATTGCCATCAGTCACCCATGTAGGGGTTCGATAGAAGACTGTCGCTCGTTCTGGGGTACATGTTTAGATTCAGACCGTGCTCTAGCGCGAGAGAGCATTTGCTTGCGACTTTCTGGACGTAGGAAAGATACCTCAAGGAAACCCCTTAGGGTCCTGCGTATTGATAGCATAGCAAGTATAAAAAGTGAGCAGCAGTGTAAGTGATTCCCATCCGCAAGCAGGTTGCAATGATATCAAAAAGCTGTGGAAGCAGTGGTGATATCTGCTAACAGGGTTAACCATAAGGCTAGGGAGAAACTATGGATCTTAGTGGCATCCGTTGAAATGACAGACGCCTGAAAGCTCATCCTTACCTGGTTCTGAATATGATGAATAGCGAAGTCAACTTAAGCGCAGGCTGATAAAAAGCTTACGCAATCGCGAATAGTGGTGGGTGGCGAAAGCGAGAGATGGAAAAGGCAGTGGTGATAGGCAACAGCAGACACCTGTTCCGCCTTATCAAAGAAACCGGTAATATAAATCCACCTGTCAGCGAAACTATCTCAGAAAAGGATGGCTTTACCATTCCTTATCATCACTGAAATGTTTCACTAACCATTTTCGACGTGTTTTTAGGGACGGCGAATATTCTCTTGACCACCTTTCCCAAAATATATCAGCTAAATAATTGACCTGCTTTCAACCTATGTCATATTTATCTCTAATGCTGCATTAAGGATAGTAATTCGGCCCCACTTGTATTTCAGGGACCTTCTCCTCATAGACCTTAGTAAAATTACCTTCCATACTTTCGATATATCTGACATGTAGATCGTCATTCCTCAGCAACGTACGCTTCAAACTCTGTAACCTACTGTTTGCTAATTCATTGTTCACCACTTTCATGTTTGGATTCCGTCTCCATGGTGTCGGAACTATAAAATGACCATTGTCGAAGCGCGTGTCCCTTCTCACGATCTGTATAGACGCCTTGTCTTCAAATGATACTGATTTATTACTAGAATAGACGTCAGGAAACTCCACATCATAAAGTTTACGTATTTGGTCCTCCAATGGCTATACCTTACTAGTATGATTAACAACTCTTTTCCTAAATTTCACGGTATGATGCAGGTCCGAAAACAGTCCATCCTAATAGCGCTTTCTCAGCGTGTGGATTTTTCCTCCCACCTAACCACTGGTCCAACACCCATTTGTCTTCTAGTACGTCACAACCAATCAACAGTAGACCTTATTCAGA